AACGTTTAGGTGATCATGTATCTTTCGATACATGACTGACAAGGCAGATTTTTTTCCCGCAGTAGGTTGCCATTTCTTTTTGCGGTAGACCAGTTGCTATCCAAGGCTATCGAACTCGGTCTGTCCTGATATTTACCCATAGCTAGCGGAGGGGGGCGGGAAGAAGAAAAGGAGTCATACCTTCCATAAAGGTATTAGCACATATGTGAATGTAATACGATGTTCTAAAACTTGCGTGTCATCAGTTGTAAATTTTTAGCGCCTCTTAAACGAAACTGCTATGTTTAGCCACCAGAGAGAGGCATTTTCTGCCGTCCATCAGCATGGCTGATGCTTACCCCCAGGAGAACAACTCTTGCGCTTTCTTAGGCTCACGTTTGCCACTGACACGAAATCGATTATATTGAATAAATTTCTAGGTCTACTGCAAGGAAAGTTTGTGTCGAGAGAACTTGTACATTTATAAATCTACTGTTCATCTCTGCATTGAATGTTGATGCTATATCTGGTCTGATGCCTCGTCTATATATCACGGGATTCTCGTCAAAATCCAAAGAATACAATGGGGTCTGGACCTGACATCTCGACGTCAGTCGCTTTCACACCGTCGACCCCTGCCGGAGCGCATACTCCTTTTAATAATATGCGCTCTGGCAGGGTTTAACTTTTTTTTTTCGACGTTTTTAATAAGAATCGCAGACCGGTAGACAAAATGAATAACACTAAAAAAAAAAAAAAAATGCGAAAGTAACGTCTATTTAAATACAGGTATTTACGAGCGAGGTAATAATATATCGAACTAAAAAAATAAAATACATTAAAGAATATAAAATACAGGGTGCAATAGAAATGCCACCCACATATACGTCCAAGAAAGCGGACTTTGACGGGGTATAATGATCTGCAAGTTTGTCTCGAGAGATCACTTAAGACTGAGGCATGGATTTCGATCTTCATAGTGTGCTCCTTACTTTCGACCTTGTGCCCTAACTAAAATTCACTTAGTAAATTACCATATACCTCCCGGAAATACATTCTACTTAATGGTAAGACATTAGTAGCAATGGTGTCTTCATATAGCTAATTTCTTTCCATTATGTGAGAGGTATATCTGGGAGGAATATGTAAGAGGTATTTCTGTTTTATATATATATATATATATATATATATATATATATATATATATATATATATATATATATATATATATATATTAATGCATGTTTCATTAAATAATATAAGCAAGTTTTTTCTATTTATTTTAATTAAGTTCCTGTCATATTGTCTGATAAGTTTAATAACATTATCATTGAAAGACGAAAGGAAATCACCATATTGATATATGTTTAAATCCAATCTAAGCTTTCGGCTTACATAAGCCATTATCCAAGATGACAATTACTTTTCAAAATATCAACCAATACACGGACGAAACAATAATAACATGCATCAATATATATATATATATATATATATATATATATATAGATAGATAGATAGATAGATAGATAGATAGACCTAGTGAGCCAGACAAACCTACCTAGGTTTCACCTAAACGGATCGTCAGTGAAAGTAAGGCTAACGAGGCAAAGAGAAACGCAGAGAGGCGATTTGGTCACGTGCTATAATTTTAGCTATCGCCTATAAATATGCGTTTCTCTTTGCCTCGTTAGCCTTATTTTCCCTGACGATCCGTTTAGGTGAAACCTAGGTAGGTTTGTCTGGCTCACTTAGGTGTATCTAGGTCTGCTCTACGGTTGTATTGAGCGCTTTTGTTAGTTAGTTGTTTACTCGTATCTGGGGGTTTTTTCTTTGCGTTACAGACCTGCATCTGTGCTATTTTTTTTTCGGCAGAAGTTCATGTTTGTAGCTTTTTCTTTTTTAAAGCCTTTTTTCCCTCAAGATTGATTTGATTATTAGAAAATCAAAAATTCGAGGGTTTTTTCGAAACGAGTCTAGTTATCTATAATTATATATATATATATATATATATATATATATATATATATATATATAGAGAGAGAGAGAGAGAGAGAGAGAGAGAGAGTATATTTTTAAGTGTATATATTTCGTAATGTCAAAGTATTTTCAGATTATTGTTGCTATATTTATCGCATATTACAAAAAAAAACACGGTATATGCAGGACAATTGAATGTTAACTCCTTATTTTATGCATGATTGACTCTTCCGTCTTGTAAAAATTATAGTTAAAAAATATACATATTATCCCTCATCGGTAGCACGACTCGATGTTTCATGCACAACGCAATATTCAGGTACTGACCCTTACGTAATTTGAATTCTAATATATCTGGTTATCACAATGTTGGCGTAGTTTTGCTGTATGCTAGGATTACATTTGCATTTTAAAAATTATATTTAGCATTTATGCCGATTTATATATGTATGTAAGAAAAAAATTTAAAATTGTTTTCGAATAGTGAATAATCATTATTTAATCGTTTAATTAAAGGGAGATTATTTGTTCTTAGTTTAAAAAAATCATAAATTTATATTCAAAATAAATAATAATTTACACATTAAAAATAAACCGCAATTTACATTAAAAATTAGGACGCATCAACAGCTATTTTTTTATGTATACATGTAGCCACAGATTCACTTCTCTTGTTTAATAAGGTAGTTTTTAAGTGTTTTAAGATAATCAATTCTTCAACAAGATATAAGTTATATTTATTTCCTTTTCCGTTATAAGCTCTAGCTCTAGATATAATTTCCCAGCTGATTTATGGTGAGATGCCATCATTCTTTAATTGCCAGAAATTTTTGTAGAGAGCAGTTCTGTTTCTTTGTTATTTATATTACCTAATGCCATTCCATGATTGTAAGAACAAAATTTCCAAGTATTTTCAGTGGAACCAAAATAAAATTTAACATCGTTACCGGAATTTATGATCGCTCGGTATACTATATTATCGGTCATACATTAGCCGTTTAAGGGACAGATCATATTAAATGTGGGTGCTGTTATTATAGTTGTATTGTCTATGAATATGTTGCGGATCAAGGTAGGTTTCCGTATGTGTTTAAATGAGTTCTACTTGAGCAATGTAACGTGACATGTGTAAAAATTATAATATACATAAATTATGTAATAATGGTTATCCTAATATCGTTAAGCGAGTGATGGGACGTAATATCGAACGTTTGGTCACAATGTACAATTTACTTGAAATCACTATGGTTGGTAGAAAATATCAGATTCTGATTGATAAGAGTTTCTAACTCAATTTCTTTCACTTTTTATACTGCCAAGTTAAATGTTGTCTTCGAGACTTGTCTTATTTCCCCCTCATTTGTAAAGGACCGTATGTCCTATCTGAATAAAAGCTCTGTAATTTATAAATTCTAATTTCAGTGCCTAGCTGAATATATAGGACGAACGTGTCTAAGGTTGGAAAAATCAGTTGGGTCAACACGTACCCGCATTTATTAGATTTAATCCTCATAATCGCACTTGTGTTTCGCAATCTGCACATAAATCGGTGATTGGACAACACCTTTTGGAGAATGAGCTAGGCTCTTCGAATTTTTCTATCAACTTATTATCTGTTTTGCATAAGGCTCGTTCCAAACACCATTTGTTAGTGTTGGAAGCTGCATGTATTAAATGGGAGTAACAGTCTTTAGGTAAGAATTTTCTTCGGTCACTTCTCTTATTTGGAGGAACGTGAGTATAAATTTCATTCGTATTTTACACTCATGCTAGAGTATATATATATATATATATATATATATATATATATATATATATATATATATATATTTGTGTATTTAGGAAAGAAATTCTCTTTTAGACATGTCTGATTGAATAAATTACAGAGATTAATTCTGCTAATTTTTAACAAAATCCGTTCATTCTTACGAATAACCTTCCGTGTATTGATGTTAAAGGATAAAAGAAATGTGCTATAGCTGGTTAAATTTCTTTTATTTTAATTTCCCAAGTACTTTCGATGTTCTACCAAGATCATCTTCACAGGTGCAAGTAGTACAAAACTATATTTATATTTATATACAGACATACTTCTTTGAAAAGGAAGTAGATGATCTACAAATAATATACACTTATGACACAATCTTGTAAAAACACTCATACAGCATATATATATATATATATATATATATATGTATGCGCGGTACTCATTGGAAAGTGGTCAATATCAATGATAGAACTAACATATTCATTTGTATGGATATGAGTTTGTGACACTAGGCTTCACGCTTTTGCGATCATCAGACAAATTTTGTCTCATGATCAAAAAAATAAAACCACCGTCACAAACTCAATCAATGCAAATGAAATATATATATATATATATATATATATATATATATATATATATATATATATATATATTTGAATCGTTAATTTACATGTTTTTAAACGTACTCCAAATCATCTTCTATATTATCTATTCATACCAATTTGGATACAATAATTTTGCCGACGCTGGTGCCTGAAGAAATGTTGGCGGAAAGGCGCCTTGGTTAAAAAAAAAAAAATGAAACTAAACAGTGTTTGTTTAAAACAATCTATGCATTCTGTGGTATTAAATTGTTATACACACACACACACACACACACACACACACACACATATATAATATATATATATATATATATATATATATATATATATATATAAATTTAATGAAAACAGACCACTTTAAGGTATCATTGTTGAGATTGTTACCTGATGATCCGGAGTCCTTTAAAAAGGATTTTTGGTGAAATAAATTATTGTAATGGTACCTTAAAGTGGTCTGTTTTTTCATTAAATATTAGCTCTGTATTCATATTGAGCTCTCAGGATTTCATCCTCCTTGGAATTACCAATTCGGTTTACCAAGTTCTTCGTAACTTTTTATATATATATATATATATATATATATATATATATATATATATATATATAGTGTAAATTGACATGGAGTCAACACTGTATGTAGATGCGATTGATATGTAACAGTTACCATGGTGACCAAACCGTCTTTACCTATAAATGCACTCTCTTCACATGCCAAATTTTACACTATGTATGCAAATTTTCTCTCTCTGTCTCTATCACTTTCCCCCTCTCTCTCTCTCTCGTTCTTTCTCTCTCTCGTTCTTTCTTTCTCTCTCTCTCTTTCTCTCCGGTTCCTTCTCTTTCTTTCTCTCTGTCTTTTTTTTTTCACTTTATATCTCTTTCTTTCTCTCTTTCTCTTTCGCTCTTTCTCATTCTCTCTCTGTTTATCTTTTTTCTCTCTCTTTCTCTATCTCTCGCGCTTTCTGTCTGTTTCTCGCTCTCTCTCTCTCCTCTCTTTCTCACTTTCTCTCTCTTTATCCTTTTCCGTCTCTGTCTCTTTCTCTTTCTTTCTTTCTTTCTTTCTTTCTTTCTTTCTTTCTCTTTCACCTTCCCTCTATTTCTTTCTCTCTTTCTCTTTCTCATTTCTCTATCTCTTTATGTTTCTTACCCTTTATGTTTCTCTCTCTTTCTTACGCTAACCAAATTTTAAAGTTGCATTAACCTACGAATCACTCGATAAATGTTATGAGCATTGTTTTAATAATTATAAGCCATATAAGCTCATTTTTTTAATATGCAAGTACTTTCAACAGCACGCTAAAAAGGTTTGTATCCGTTAACAATAACACATTTAAAAAAAAACATATTTTGATTCGCATTTAATTTTTTCGTCTCGTGTGGTACCAGATTTTACTAAAAACAAAATAATTTCCATGCCTGAGGATGACTGAATGTACAGTTGAAAGTACTTGCATATTAAAAAAAGAACTTATATAGCTTATAATTATTAATTGTGATTAGTAGGTTAATGCACCTTTAAAATTTTGTTCGCGAAAGGATTTCGCCATTTTATATCATTAACTTTACTAACCCACTTTTTGTATGAATGATTCATTGTTTATATATATATATATATATATATATATATATATATATATATATATATATATATATATATATATTACTTGTGAATTGCTGCAGAATTTAATAGAATGATATAGCCAAAGTGATGTGATGAACAAAAATAGCTGACATGAATGTTAAAAGGCTTTTCCAGTTAGATAATCTTGTTTCGTTAGGTCATAATGTAACCTTTATTCTTCTCTCACAAATTTAACGTCGTTCAATATTTCATGTCTTTCGCCGAGTGTTTGTAGGGTACATTCTTCTTCATTCGATGGGCTTTTATTTCATCTCTCCAGCTGTACCTAGGTCATTCACAGTGCAGGCAGATGGGGTTATTGAGGTGGGTATTATTGCCCCTAATAGAATTCAAGAAGCATTTCGGTAAAAAGAGCCCACCAGTGACGACGGGGAAGGCTGGGAGATACGAAAAAGATAGTTCTTTTTATCTCTTGCTCGAGAATGGTTTCGGTTACTCGGCGCCCCCTTCGTCATTTAACTCCCAACCGATAATTCCACTAACATCTGAGAAATGTCAAGCATCTGTGGCCTAATTATCCATCTGATTGCTCATCGGAAATCTCTTCGCTTTTTTCTTTTCTTTTTTTTTTTTATCTCTCGAACACTGACACAAAACCCAACGGGCCCTTGTCCTGCGTTTTTCCACCTCAACGTCAGACACAATCTCCGAGGGGACACAATAGCCAGGCTGTCCTTTGTTGTTGACCAGAAGTTTCTTGAACCACAGGAGACGGGAACTCGACATGAAACGCCATCATCTCCTGTCCAGGATGTCTCTCTGCATCCCTCTCCTTGTACACGTGTCACATTTAGAACTCGATTAATAACAAAAAGGGGATCGGAATCAAGAACGAATAGCGAGAACTGAAAATGCTGTCAGGGTTATGGAACGACTGGACGATAAAGAGGAATACATTCTGCAGTTATATGCGTTGAGACAGGTACATAACTTTGTCGGTATCAAGTGGCCCTATTGTCCGGCTTCTAAATTGGATTCGATAAATAGATATTCGCGGCCATGTTGTGTAATTACGGCTGTCATTATGGTTAGTTCTTTTACTGCTCCTTTAGGCAATTGTCTTGCAGAAGTTTTGCTGGTGGGCGGGGAGGCAGTCAAGGGACATGCCACTTTGTATCTGCGAAATGTTTCACTTGGCCGTGACGTTTGGCATTTTTGATTGTTGAAACAAACGCCTAGAAACCTAAATGGTTCCAGAATGTTGCAAAGTATTAAAACCTGCATTCAGGTATTTTAGAAAAGATGAGAGGTTAGCTTAAGACGTTATAACTCTTATTTCTGAAATTTTAACTAAAAGTTAGGTTAGGATATTAAAAAAAAATATCTTAAAGTCAATGTTAACTACCATCAGAGAATTTTATTGCTGACTCGCAGTAGAGCCCGGCGTTGCCCGGGGATGTAACAGTAAGAGATAGATCAAGTATCGACCATCATAAAGACTGAAAAATAAAATTGACAAAGATTATTGTTTAAGGTTGACGGACACGCATGTCTTAATTAGTTTTTTTTTTTTTTTTACGAATTGGTCAAACCCAAGCTCAAAAAAAACATTGTTTTCAATCGTTATGAGTCTACCGATTGAATAGAATTTTATTATAAACAATTGTCTTGTAAATGGAATTTTAAAGCATTCTGAAAGTAAAAATAAAAGAAAAAAAAGTGTGCAAGACAATAAGAAACACTACTTGCGAAAAAAAAAGTGAAGTTTTGTTGAAATCGGTTGAAAAATGTAGGAAATCCGATCACATATATAAACACACACACACACACACACACAACCAACCAACCAACCAACCTGGGTTTTATAAGCATAACTCGATAACTCGATATCAATAAGTATAAATCGATATGAGTTGTCCCCCTTTCATTTTCGCGATGACTCTTAACAAAGCAAAAACAATTGTGTTTTTCCAATTTTTGGCGCTGTTAGAACTACCGCAAGGTAATTTTACGTAGTCCTGTGAAGTTTTGTTGAAATCGGTTGAAAAATGTAGGAAATCCGATCCAATATATAAACGTACAGACACACACACACACACACACACACACACACACAAAAAAAAACAAAAAAAACAAAACAATCTGCGTTTTATAATAAGTAAGATAACCTTAACGTTCCATAAATTCTTACAAGAAACATTCTTAGTTTTCATTTCATCTTATTTTCTTGCTCGGGTCGACATTTTATTCTACGACCATTAAGCAAAAATTAATGGCTGAACGCTTAAAAAGACTGTATCGTATATCCATGATTAAATAATTAAACTAAAAAACAGCCAATGGATATTCTTCTTCTGTGTCCTTTCAGAACGTTGGGGACCATGGTTATTCACAATTTCAAGCACCTTCTAGATATTTTTTTTTTTATCTCAGTAAATAGTTTTCTATATTAATTAGAGTAAAATTTTGAAATCAAAATTACGGTGGGCAGTTAATAAAAAGCGAAGGCGTTTTACTCAGGCGAATATGCATGATTTAATCGCTAGATCATTCACAGAATATTTACGTTCAGTTTCGTACATTTTACCTTTCTTGGCAAATCTATTATCGAAGTGTGCGATATTTCATAACAAAAATGATGGAACCTTAAACAAAGAGAAACTAAATGAAATAAGCTAGAATATATACCCCAAACATATATTTAAAAATAAAATCTAAATTTAAAATTCTCATCGTCCCCTCTCCTTCATGCGCATGTGTAGTCTCATCAACGTAAACATCATTTTAGTCTGATGAAGTCTTAAACGACGAAATGCATCATACGAATACATTTTTCACTTTATCATAGAATTCCCTAAAATAATATATATATATATATGTATATATATATATATATATATATAGTCGACTCTCCCGTCGAATTCGACGTATGAGGATCAAGCAGATCAGTTCCCAGGAAACCGACAGCCCGACAACAGCACATGAGATTTGATTATAATAGTGAAGGTTTCGTGCAGGACCATCCACACTTTTTGAAGGGCTGAATACAGAGACCTGGTGCACTAAGTGCCACAGGGTCCCCAAACGACCCTCCGCAGGTTTTGGATTCAGAGTTGTCCTTCTCCTAGACCAGTTGCCATCCAAGGCTATAAGAACATAGTCTGTCCTGTTATTCACCCATAGCTGGAGAGAGAAGAAAGAGGATTCACACCTTTCCCAAGGGTACTAGCACGTAAGTGAATGTAATGGATTCGACTGGAATTCGAACTCGGCTTTCCGATTCCTCGATCCAAGCCGCTATCCATTATTCCACTGTGTCTGTCTGTCTGTGTGTATATATATATATATATATATATATATATATATATATATATATATATATATATATATATATATATATATATATATATATATATATATATATATATATATATATATATATATATATACTAAATATGTTGATACGATAGTTGTCAGTGAAAGTGAATACCCTACCGCCCTTATTAAAATGATTGGTTTTCTCCATAGAAACAAATATTACGAATGTATAAGCATATACATTCGTAATATGTGTTTCTATGGAGAAAGCTCCGTAAATTTCAAAATTATTTATTCAAAAATTCGCTTGAGGATGAAACAGAACTAGGTATTTAATTTAATTTAATTTAATTTCTATAAGTGAATTGGAAGTTTTTACCTTCTGTTTTTGAAACATGGTAATTCCTATGTAGCGATGGTTTATATTTAAAAAAAAATTATAATATATATATATATATATATATATATATATATATATATACAAATGTAAAAGAACGAAGAATAAAACTTCAACGTTCAAAGCATTTAACTAAAACAGGGCTCAATACAAAAGTAGAACAGTAAATATTCATTATATACTAATGCATTAGAACATGCAAATATCCACTACAAAATTGTACATTTTGTTTCAACGTTAAAATCAGACGTTTCTTCGGGTGGCTAACACTGATAATAAACGATTTTATTCAAAATTACTATTAATGAAACACTACTTCACTTTCTGTTTCTGGGAAATTTTTGATAAAACATAAAAAGTATTTATATAAAGAAAAAGGAATGAAGATAAGAAATCAATAAATAAAAAAGGAAAGAGGAAAGAAAAAGAAAAGAAAGTCAAGGGAAAGCATAGGAAATTAACCCAACTGCCAAGAGAAAAGACAGAAAAGAAAGGCAAGAGAAATAAAGAAGTATATTCAAAATTACACACAACACTCAAATATATACGACAAAACTTCTGGACGCTAAAATGTGTAAAAGTTAGTGAGACGCAGCAGGATGTTTTGAAAAATTTTCTTTGATTTTTCATATAAGCATATCTCGTGCGTATTTTGTATATGACTTCATTGATTTTTTATGGATGAGAATTCATGAGTAATGGATCTGTAAAAAAATGGTGAAGTAATGTAGTTTTTTTTTTAAGCGTGTTGATAAATGGTATAAATATGTTTTCATAATATTTTCTCTTTAAAGGTTTATGCTCTTTTATAATAAGGATGGCATTGGTGAAATTAAAGTTATGCCCCACATTGTTGCGTTGTAAGACGAGAGAGTTTGAAT